AATTTAAAAAAATTATTTCTCATAACTCATACAACCACATCACCTAAAGTCCTTCAAGCCAGACCAAGGTTTCAATTTGCTAGATGCCATACTCATGGGTACTAAGAGGCAAATCACACTGAAGAGGTTGCCAGGCTACAAGGACAGAAGAGATTTTGAGAGGAAGCAGAGTAGAAATGCTATGTTCAAGGTCATTTAGCACAGTGGTGCTAGCTGGGAATGAAACAAGTCTCCAGAGTGCCAGCCCAGTCCCCTCTGGATCAAGCTGCCTCTGAGAGCTGTACACAAGGCAGATTTGAGCTTGACCATCAAAGCATGGGTTTTTTTGCTATTTAAATACTCCATAAATTTTGGCCACCCAGTACTTGCTATTAAAAAAAGGCTAATTACCTTTGGGCCAGGTACATCTTACTACCTGGTATACCTCCCACAAAGTCCTATTTTGCCAAACAGACAATCTGTTGGAAATTCATGATAAAACTCGAGAGTTTCAGAAGGCAGGTGTCCAATTCCAGACAAAGCAATCAGCATTCAATACATAATTCACAGCAGGGACAAAAAATCCTGAGCTTTCGTATGCTGCTATTTCCAGTATTTCATTTTCACAGGCTCTGCTGGAAGCCCTCTCTCCAGAGTCACAAAGTTTTCTTGTTTGTAAAAAAATGTAAAGATTTATTTTATGGGCTGAAATTTGGCATGTGTTTTTTGTTTGTTTTGTTGTTTGTTTGTGTTTTTTTTTTTTTTTTTATTAAGGCCTTGCTGCACTCATCTCTTCGGCAAGGATTTAAGCAGAAAAAGTAAAAATCGGGCAAAATACCCTTTGAGGAGCCAGATTACCACAGCATTCACCAGGCCCCCTAAGTCAGGGTTCACACAATTTAGGAATAGCCCCTGCTGCCATCCATGGAAGTTACGTACTTGTAAGCCTTGTCTGTACAACCTCCTGTTCCTAATGAAAGGCAAAGTGGGGCGTCTGCCTCGGAACCTTCCAATGGGTTACCGAAATATAGAATGCATGATATGTAAGCAGAAAACACTGCAGCTACATAAGAGGAGCTCTGTACTTCACTCATCACACTAGTATTTCTAAACTTTACCAAACAGGAGGAAAATATTAGTTAAGATTTTTTCATAATGCACCTGCAGTTCTTCAAGCAATACCTAAGGCAAGCTCATCTATTAACATGCCATTGCAGTCAGGGTCATTTTGAGATCATGTTGGCCTCCTCCTCCATTTCAATTCGCTGCACCAGAAGGCTGGAACTGGCCATACTGGTGAAGGTCACACAGAAACCTCTGAAGTTCAGGTGAGATGTTTGGTCCTTTCTGAAACTTCAGCTCCAGCTGCATTCTTGAAATATGGTCTCTCCTACACCACCTCACATGACAGAAAGATCCCTAGATGCCGCTGTGTTGCAGCTAAAGATGATGATTTAGTCTTGTAATTTTCTGCTCTTTTTCATATATGCAATTTTGAAAGACAAAACCCTAACATTTTAATCACTTTTGACTGCTTCTATAACTCAGAGACTTTCACTTGCAAGTCATGGGCTCAGCCTTGGGCTGAAGTGATGTCAATCAAAAGCTGCTTCTCACCCACATGTTGCTGATGGCCAATATGAAGTAAACTATCATCAATGCCTAGAAAAACTGTGCTGCATGGGACTCTCAACAACTGCAAGACAGAGACAAGAACTAACCAGAAGTGAAGCCTGAGAGAACCTTTCACCTTGTGGTTCAGCAACACTGGGCTAACTCACACTGGGGTACCAGACTAGCAGAACTCTTCCCACCATACCTGCTGCTATGGGGAGGAAAGATCTTTGCTCCATAAAGGATCTATGTTGACAAAATGCTTTCCAAACTCATCACTTCAGAGGAGATGGTAACACAGCTCTGCAGGACAACAGCATCCTACCATCTCTGCCTAAGGCAAGGGAAGCATCCAGCAAGACCTGGGTGACTCCTCTACCTTCACTTTCCAGCTCAGCTTACTTGAATTAAGCAAGATCACTGGGTACAAGTAGGGTGCTGCTCACTGCAGGTGTCAAAACTCTGCCTTCTATTAACGGTGGTCATTTTTAGCTCATGGCAATGTCCTTGTCACCTGCCTGGTACTCAGAAAATCTTACCAGAGCGACGCCAAGATAAGCAATGCAGGGATGATGCAGATTCATACTCATCCATGTCCTCAACAGCAGTTCTGCTGGCCAAGGGGAATTATCTGCGGTTGATATTGGCTCACCCATTCTGAGAGTATTACGGATTTTCCAAACCTACTGCAGAGGGTACAAACTCCTCTGCTTCAGAGGCACCTCCCAGAGCAGTGTGTCTCATTGCAATCCTGAACTCGTACCAAGGATCGAAAGAGCTTCCCTCTGCGTGAATTTATGCCAATGGGTCGTGAATGTTAAATAAACTGCTTGTCATTATCCTGCTATCACTCCTACTCCAGTGAGAGAGGACTACGTTACAGTTTAGTTTATGTCGCTTTAAAACTATCTTAAAGATAATATAAAAAAGAAACCTAACAATAAAATTTCTCTTATTCCACAATAGGAGTATCCCCAAGGGCAAGGTGTACCTATAAAATTATTATAATGCTTTAACTGCATAAGCACAACTGGAAACGTCTTCTCTGAAAACAAGTCATAACTCCATTTTCCTATCTGCAGACATTATCCTGATAAACTTGGGAAGGTCAGCTAAGGTGTAATCCAATAAACGTGCTGATGTTCTGAGTAAGTACCTCACAATTCGCAGCCTAATCTATTATCCTACTGTAAGACCATCAAATGACTCACCAGTTTTAATACTTAGGACAGATCAAACAAAGGAAAATATCAAAGCTTTACATTCTAGTTCCACCTTTCAAGGACTTGTTTGAGTACTCTTTAATTACAGCAGATCATACATTCAACTCTGACATTTTCTTTTTCTAACAGTTATAGTTAGAAGTTGCTGTAGCTGTACTTTCCACAGGACATCATTATGTTAACCAATAAATCTTGAAAAGTCTGATAAAACTCAACAAAGAAACTTGGGATTTGGTCCCGGAGATGAAATTCAGCTTCTTCTGCCCACTGGATCACACACAGCAATTGTAACACACCAGGGAGCAGCAGCATCCCATCACTCCTGGGTATAGGGTATAAGTCTTCAGAGCCCCACCTGAACTGTGGGCAAAAAGCCATGGGAACAAGCATGTGCACCAAGGAGCACACGTCATCTTGGAGGCTGATGAATTTAAGAGGTCAGATCAAGTCCAAAACTTGGGCTATGTCTCCCAAACTGCCCGAAACTCAAATATACCTGCAGAACTTTGCATTTGAACACTGTGATTTTTTAATTTTTGTTTTTTAATAGTATCGGCAAAAAATAGAAGTGAAAAAACAACCTATTCACAGAACACCAGATCCCAGAGGAAGAAGGATCAGAAGACAGACAGCAGTACTGTCAGCAAACTGCAAATGCTTAGCAAAGGGTTACAGAAGTTACATGTCTCTACGAAGATGCTGGTGCTGACCATGGTCATTGCCAAAGAAAATGGTGAGTACAAATCTCTTCCAGTTAACTCTCACAGTGTTTTCACAGTAGAAAGCTTTTCCCAGTAACAGTGTGCATTCATATGTGTTTGGCCCACGCAAGTAAAATGAACACAGGTTATTCGACACAGTGCTTGAGCACTACCACTGCTAAAACTTCTCTCATTTATTGCAACAACAAAAATCCACCGTGAAAAGGACTGAATTTCATCGGGTTTATGCCGTTGCACTTTTTGACTGACGGACTCAAATCAGACTGTTTTTCAGGGACAAGCCTGTAAGCTTACGCAATAATTATGTACAGGCTGCTAGAATGAAAGAAGAGTTTATTGGGAGGTCCCTGCAGAAGGGATGGAAACCACACAGGCCACCACACCAGAGCCTCTGTGTGCAGATGGATGCTTTCAAAAGTGCACAAATCTGATTTAACTCTGCTTTTGCTTTCATATACTTTAACAAGAGCAAATCTAAACTAATGCCAATTGCTACTTTAGTTCTGCTCCAAAGGTATTGTTTCTCAATTACTTAAAAGATACAAGAATGAAAAGCCATAAAGTGCCTCACTCCACTATCCTTCTGATACTTTTGTCTTTTGGGGTTTTATTCAGGGCTGCCATTGGCAAGACAAACACTGCACACATACAGCTGCATACATGCCTACAAGACCTATATACATGATAGAAATGAGATGAGTCGTGAGATTAGGGAGCAAAGACAGTGCACAACTGGGCACAAACAGATCTGGGATGATTTATGAGATCTCAAGAATTGCCCTTTCTAAAGTGCCACTGGGGTGTCACCGCTTCTCCTGATAAATAGATAACATCTCTCCAGAACTTAAATAGCTCCACTCGAGCACTACCTAGATGAGTGACAAAAATCAGCTGAGCTGCTGTCACCCCTGCAGTCCTTGTCTAGACACAGCAGAGTAAGTGCGAATTCCAGTCTGCCTTGCTGGGCTACAGCCACCCTGACAGCTGAGCTACGATCCAAGCCACTTCGTCGCTACTGATTAGACAACAAAAACAAAGGAAAACAACTTGAGATACAGACATCTGAGTCCTTCTGGCAGTGTGACAGATAAAATCAACAAAACAGAAAAACAACAAGAAAGTAAAAGTGTAAAAGTAATTGTGAACTGAGCAGGTTTTAATTCACAAGCTATTGTTGGTGGGAAGTTGAGGTGAATGAAATGACACTTTTTGCAGCTATTTTTCTAACAACGTCTGTGGCAATCTAAGGATCAGAGGCCTTTCACTCAGAGGTATGGCAGCTTTTGAGCTGGTGCCCCCTTCAGCATGGCTGCACCCTTCTCCCCACTGACAGCCACATCTGGATGCTATCAGGAGGAACTGGCACGCCTGCTCGCAACAAATACCAAGCAGTTAGCAAATTGACTCCAGCAGTCGATGCTGGCCGCTTTCCCACTCTCTGTTTACACACAGTGACACTAACCTGTTGAGTCCGAGGTTTGTAAGGAGAGCTGCTCTCCAGGTCAGCCAGGATGCTGGTCAGGGAGTCAATTTCTGCATCCAGACTGGACCGTCTCTCCTCAAGCGTCTTGCCACCAGGATTCACCTTAAGGAAGAAAGAAGAGTTCCAGTTATTCAAACCACTTGGCCCGGCACATGGTTTCTTACCATCCTCACAGAGCTGCTACCATGCCCAGCAATAACTCCTGGGCTGCAGGGACAAACATGCTGAAATGCTATTGCAACAAGCCTCCATCTCATAAGGATTTAGGCTGCTTTGGGGCTTTTCTTCATATATTTCCCACAGCGGTCCTATTGTGTTAAATTGACTGGGAGGATTATGCAACTTGGTGTGCAATCACTGCTGAGGTGAAGAAGCAGGGCAATGCCTGCTCCCACAGACGGAAATGATGTATTTTAGAAGGACACCTGGCTGGGCAACCGGAGCTGGGGACAGTCTTGGAGCACCTGGATCCTGGGAGCATCTCTTCAGCCACATCCCCATCCCAGACAAAGCATAAGCAAAGCTGACCAGCCACCTGCACCTATTATTACTTTAAATCAATTTGTGCAAACTGTACCTGCCTGATTCAACACTTCTTCATATTTTCCATCTGAAAAATGAGGTCTTTCAAGGAGGAGTGAAAAAGTTCAATTCATTCCTAGCAGATTCAAGGTGAAGGGCATGATTTGCAATAAGCAGTCACAAAATACCATAAATAAGGTCCTTCTGAAAAGGGCTATTACGCAGGAAAGCCTATGCTAAGAGCAAATACCAAGATACACTCAGGACCCTTTCTGATTCAATAGATCTTGCTTTCTCTCTGCTTTCAAAACAGCCCAGCTCCACTTGTACCCAGGCTGGTAGGGACGATCACTTCAAAGAGAAGAGACAAGAATTTTCACTTCCACCACCCACCTCCGAAAGGTAAACCCAGGTCTCAGCACCGCAGGAGAATATGTGATCCCCAGGCCACTGTTCAAGGGCTGCACTCCAATCCCTGCTAGAATAACCATTTTCAAAGAGGACTCATTCACACGCTTTGTTTTTGAAAAATCAACCTATTTCAAAACCTCTTGGAAGGACCTCCGTGCTCTACAGCCCAACCCAACAGCAGTGTCTCCCAGCAGGGCCCAAAGGCAGGTACAAGGTAAGAAATATCCCCCTCCTCAGTGTTTTCATTAGTGCTTTGGAAATTAGGCAGATTTGTCAGGAATAAGAAGTTCAAGAAAACCAGCTAAGGATCCCCATCAGGTGCGATGTAGGTGCCAGGAGCTAGCCCCACTGAGCCAGCCCACATTTACAGCATGCACAGAAACTGAAGTTCTTGAGTCAAGTGAAATATTACACATTGAAAGTCTTTTCTCAAACTGAGTCATAGTCAGTAATTTTCTTCTGTCCTTCCATGTCTGACTTATCTACAGATCCCCCAGACAAAGTCTGTCCGTGTACGTGCAACTACAGAGTTAGTGCAGAAGAGCTCATTCAGTTTGACTACTACAATAATAAAAATACTAAAGAATTATCTAACAACTCACCTAATTTCAACTGTAAAGCCTGTTCAGACCATACCAGCACCTCCCCACAGACAATCCAGCTCTGCTTGCCTTCACTCTCACCAAGTTACTTCGATTTTCCAAGCCAAAAATTGGCTTTTTCCTTTGGCTCACTGGCTGTTCCAGATAGTTTTTATTTAAATTTCATTTCAGGAGCATTTGATCATTACCTGTTTTACAGAACTCCCCAGTCATCAATCCAACACATAAATGGCAAGTTGGTCAAAGAGAGACAGACTATGCAAAGCAGGCAGGCTCTGATCTGCCAAGCTCATACGTGCTGAGGCATTCATTATTTCCTAATGATTATTAAATCTTATTGGATTACAATAAATTTGGCTTGACTAACAAGAAAATGGAAGCTCCAATGTGCTTTATGCAAGAAGACGTCATTTAAAAGGCTGAGAGTCAGGTTAGAAACTACTTATAAACTCAATTCTTCTTGCCTATTTTTATTATAGAGCCAAAGTTTTTCCATCCAAACTGTCGTTCAAAAAAAGAAATACTTTTCACAGGAACTACCCCAGACCATTACTCCTGGCTAGCTGCAGGCACCTGGATTTTTAGATCTGCAAAAGTACAATTTCCTTTCCACTATTAGTGCACTTCATGGCTCTTGTTTAGTTTTACTCCATCCTCCAGTTGTTGGCCTATAACTACAGGGCAGCCACAGGCTTCCGAGACACAAAACCTGTGATTACTCCACTCCAGCAAATTTTTAAGCTAAGCAGCCAAAAGCCAGCCTGGAAAGTGGAGGAGATGAGAAGGGCACCCAAGGCCCCAACATTTGAAGTGATAAATCAAGTCAATAGCAGACCTGAGAATAAAACTGGAGCCCACACGTAGCCTGTTTGGTACCCTGGCCCTGGAGAGGAGGGATGGTGGCAGATTTAATTTCTGCTTCTTAGCATTTCTGGGCCATATTATTCCCAGGTTCTCATTCCCCAGAACAATTACGCAACAGCTGACCAGCAAATGCTGCAGAACAAGCTGTAAGGTTGTAAAAGTTAAATGTCCTTAGGAAACCTAGAAAAATAAAATAAAATAGCATGGAAACATCTCTATTGATTCTAAGCTCTGCAAAAGATTTATTTATTCAATTAAAACATAATCAACATAGATTAAGAGCCCAGTTCTACAAATGCTGGGGCACAATGCAGTACGACAGTGCCAACTAATAACGCTACAGATGTGTGTGAGGGCCTACTGGGACAGGACTGGACTTTAAGTACGTTTAAGAAAAGGTGAGCCTTACAAAGATGGGTTTCTGCTTGCTCTCTTTTCCCCATCTCTATGAATCTTGAATTTTTTTCCCCACAGCGCTCCAGATTCAACTGAAAGATTTGATGCATGTGGAAACAGGAGAAGAATTTGCAGTGCTAACTTTAGCAAGAGAGGGTTAAGTTATTTTTCTTCTCATGCTCTTCGTCATGACGTTGCTATAAAAGTTTTATGATATTGCTCTGGAACCAAGCCCAAGCGCCAGGTCCCAAGGCACAACAGGTTCGCACAGACACGGCTCTGCTCTGAGAAGCCCAGACTGGTTAAGCTCACAACTTGCAGATACAAACACCGGAACCAAAAAGAACTGCTAATTCTATTTCTGTCTGAGTTTATGGCATTGTTGCAAACCTGTCGCTTGCACACCCTCCCTTTCAGGCAGCAGAATATGGAAAAACGGGTTTAAAAAGAAAAAGGATGCTATCTTTGGCCCAGCCAATGTGAGTTCGACAAAAAGCAAACATAAGTCAACCCAGTCCAACAAATTACTCATGCCAGAGACTATCCACTCACGTGAACTTCTGCAACGCCTACACTCCTATCCCCTGGCTCAGTCCCTGCTGCGAGGCAAAAGGGAGAAAAATTGCAGAGCGCTTCACTGCTTGGCTTGTTTGTCTGCCCCTGAATTCCTAGTGTGCAGCTCAGAGCAGCTGTGATGGCAAACCACTCCCAGGCCCCATCAACCCACTCTGTTCTAATGAAAACTGGCTTTAATTTTGCTAATCCTGCCACCCAACACCAGCCAGTGCCACAGGTCCCCCCGCACCACTCCAAGGGACATTCGTTACAGAATATGCAGTGCAGAGGGCAATTCAGGGCCTCAAAATTTTGCCTTGCTGTGCTAAAAACGCCATAAGACTATTCACCAAGCTAGAAGACATGAAAATCACAATGATCTCCCTAGATGCCACCTCTTCCTACAACCTAGATCACCTGTTCTTATCACATTTTACAGGTTATAGCTGAAAACCAAAATGCTTCTCATTTGTTCAAGTCAGCTCCTTGCAATGGGCTCAAAGAGAAGAATCTGGCTCCCAGATGTCCTTTCTAGCTCCTGCTCCAAATTCCTTTCCCTACCCAGATCCAGACGCCTCTCTTTTACTGTTTTCTCCTCTCTCCATGACCTGTTTGCTGCCATGCAGTGCTCCAGCCTGAGACAGTCATGAGTCCCTGGGACGAGAGACGCAACGTGGGCTGCCAGGCTGGTCTCTGAGCCTCTATGGGAAATCACATTGATGCCCAGTGGGGTTGCTGCGTCAGGGAAAGATGGAGCGTGGCTTTGTAGTAGTGACCTGCTGACTTACGTGGACAGCAGGTTAGAAGTAACTTCAGAGTACTAGTGTAGATTTCTACCAACGCGAGGCAATGGCCAAACTGCTCACCACTTTCAGAGCATCAGGACTTCGCCCACTGCAGTGCAATTTTCCAGCATCAAGATTTACCTTCTCCCCCCTCCACCTTAGCCTTGCTCAAGTCTTTTCTAAAGCAGGTTGAGCTTTGCATTGCATGAGCATTGTGGCCAGCTCATCCTTTGAGCTGAGCCCCAGGAACATGAGCTGTCATTATTGGGAAATGCAGTACTGTTATGTATGTACAGACACGTCCAAGACAGCAGAGCTACAGCTAGACACACAACCTTCCTTGTGGCATCAGCCCACGCTGCACGCTGCGCTATCACAAGTCACCGATAACCTCACAACTCACAAATGGAAGAATGGAGATGAATATCATGGATATTAAGCAAGGTCATAGCTAATAACTCGAAATAAACAGGCTGGGGGACCCCAGTGCCTTCTGTTCCCGGTACATTGGTTTTACTGGGAGCCTGAGGTGCTTGGGGAGCTCTCTTTGGGCTGTGACAGGTCAACATTGTTTGCATTTACAAACCCAAGAATGGGGAAAAGCAGGGAGCAGAAAAACCCTTTGCAGCACAGGTAGTCATGGGAAGGAAGGCCTAAAGTAACAAGAGAAGCAAGCAAAAGGGGAATTAAAGCAAATCAGGGGTGGTGAGCAGGCAGATAATAAATAAGGACTTTTGTCTTAACAGACTTCATTGTCTTTTCCTCAAGTAAATGTGACCAAGCCCCAGTCAAGGTGGCAAAGCTGATAAATTCAGTGACCGCTGCCCACTTCACCGGGCTGCACCCACAGCAGCCGCCTGACACGTTCTACAGGCTCTAAAATCCTGGGTAGGCACTGAGGTGGTAGGAAGAGCAAATGAAACAGCTCTCCAAACAAGGAGTTAGCATCTCTTTCTACTTCATGGCC